TCATGTTCTTTATACCATCCATGTTTTTTTGGAAATTTTTAACGCTGGATTTAGAATATGCTTGTTTTGTTTTGGGCAATTTGTTTGTCGTGGGTCGACCAGGCGATGCTAACGGACTAAGTGTCCTGAGTCGACTTCCTCGATTGTTTCTGAGTCGACTTAGATTTAGGAGTCAACCCGTTGATCTATAATCCCACTTTTAGGATCTTTACTCTTTTACTATTCGCTCACTTCTCCACCTTACTTAACCTAGTCGAGTCGAGTACGGATTGCAGCCTTGTGTTCGTCCAATCTATTCCGCGTCGATTTAGGATAATTTTGCCTTTATTCGACTTTGGATTTTAGATAAGGTTGTCCTTTTCTTAAATTTTTGGGCGTAGACGAGCCTAGTATAGGTATTCCCATTTCTCGTCGTAGTTGTTTAGCCATATGGTTTATACTTCGACGTACTAATGATATCCTTTTTCGTGTTCACGAGATTCTTATTCCTCTTCTTATTACCTCATTCGTCAGCTCGATGAATACTCGAGTTCTGACTTTGTCCAAATAATCAGCTCTGAGCGGTCGAGCAAGGCAATTCTGCTCGTGCAGAGAGTTCCTCTAATGGGGAAGTTGATTGGGACGAGTATAACCAAGCACTCTTATCGGGTGCCTTGGCAGTCGAGTTCCAAAATTCTCCTCAGGTCGAGATTCCTTTCCTGAGTCTCATACCTCGAGGTATTTCTCTTAGGTTTTTGGATATTCCTGTATATAGAACAAGTCCCCTTTCTGTACCAATAATTGCTCCTATTCCCGAGCCTCAAGATGTTGTAACAGTAGCTTGTCCTTTAGTTAAGTTAGTTGTTCTAAATCCTTTCCTTTATGCCCCTGCAGCCGAAATCGACGGTTTCAGGGTGTTCAGCGGACTGCCCTCCACTTGGGAGTTAATCGCTCATGGCCCTAATGACGATTTTGCTCATCCTCCCCCAGGCTGCTATACCTTCTTCGTCGAATAGATAATGTTTGGATTGTGTTTTCTTATTCAGCGTGAGCTATTGTTGATTAGTAACCTGTATAACGTACCCATAAATCAGTTCTCGTGCAATGTTATTCGCATCATTCTGGCATTTATCATCGTTTCCAAGATAAAGTTTGGTAATTTTTCTCCTGAGTTCCTCTTCTATTGTTACGGCTACCGCTTCATAAAGGTCGCCCATTGCTTGGGTCGTCGGCTCGACGTCAGTTTCCTCGACGACCTTTCTTCCAACGTCACCGAGTGTGTAACGCCTCCTTTTTTATTTTAAATAAAATTTTGGACTTTCCCAAAAATCAAGAATTAAATTTTCGAAATTCATTTTTCAATTTCAGCAAATTTAAAGGCGCTACCATTCATTTCATAAAATAGTTCCAGTCATATCTGAACAAACGGGAATTCATTACCCAAAATTCTTGCAAAGAATATTATCTTCCAAACATCAACTCATTTC